TCAACTTGTATTCGGTGGTTCTTTTTCCAACTCTTATATTTAACTTAGCCATACATTACTCTGACTTACTCCATTTCACGTATAGATTGCTTGGCTCTCAGCTGCAATCGAAATTAAACCCGCAACGAAAGGTAAAAAAATTTAACAAAATGGAATGCTGAAATTATTTCCCCAGGTCGTTCAGACACACACACTCGCACACAACGGCTCGCAACACGATAAATTGCTAGTGCAATGTTAGCAATTGCTGTTAGCCATTACGTATCCGCCGCGTTGCACCAAAACAAGCAGCAGCAGCAGCAGCAGCAGCAGCATCGGAAAAAGCACACTTGATTGATGAAAAACCTTTGCGAAATGTCAATCCAACATAATTGAGTCATGTGCTGCCCGTCCCACCTGCAAAAAAAAATAAGTGTGGACCGGCAAAGGGAAACGTGAAAAGTGGCAGCTGCAAATAAAAAGTGGCAGAGTGGAACGCGTGTGCGGGGTCGCCAGGGTACGGGTATCAATGCACTCTCCGAGTGAGCACTGTACCAGCCACACTGGCGTTGGCCAAACCATCATTACCAGCGCCATACGTCGCGCCAGCCGCAGCTTAAAGTCACTCAGGTGCAGTGGCCAAGGCGAAATGCACATTATATTGCCTTCTGTTCAAATGCGTCAGCGATGCTCTGGTGACTCACGCTCACGCGGGAATGATTTTGGCCTGCTCACGAACCTTTATCAACTTGGCCTTAATACCCGCTAGAGGCTGAGTAAAATGATGATTTCGGAGAACCGATAACACATATTATATGTAGCTCTAAATATAAATGCCTTACTGTTGAATTAATTATTTTATATTAAATATTAAAATTAAATATTAATTCACAATATTCAATGCAATGCATTATATATTTTTGATGATTTATTATTAAAATATTTTAAGAATATTATTAATATTACAAAATTTAATATTTTCATATCACAAGGAGACTACCATATATAGCCGCAATATTCGAAATCAGAAAAAAATAGCAATTAATAAATGACAGCGGCTTTATAAGAGTTTGTGCGTACTAAAAGTTTTAGAAAGTCATTTGGTTCCGGAGAAAGCTGGTGAAAGTGTAAACAAATTTTGGCATAATATTGGAGCTGTTGGGGCCGGAGGAGCAAAAAAATTATTCGGCACGCTGCAACAAAAATATATATTTTGAAATGTGTATTTATTGAGTTGAAAGCTTACTAATTTTTTGTCACAAAATTTAATATCAGAAATTTTGTGCGTCGAAGGCGCGATCGGCACGATTTTTTTACCTCGCTAAGAGGTAAAATCGATGAAAATCAAATGGAAAAATATTTAAATTGAGTTTGAAAACAATTTTAAAATGTTCGAAATAAAATTGTTTAATGATTAAATATTAAGATTCAATAAACATTACATACATTTCCAATTGGATTTCGGTTGTACTACAAACATTTAAATTGAAACTGAAAAGATTGCTTAATTATTTCAATTTCGAATTAGTACTTCCACAAAAATTCTGTTTTCACGGTTCCAATTAAAAGTTAGAGCACTCGCTTTGCATCCGCCGTGAGCATCACGTTGCCACACCAGACCTGTAATGGCAAGAAAATTAATGCCGGCAAGTAAATGCTGCTGACTACAGTCCCTCGGCGGCGACCAGGCGATATACTTGACGATGATGATGGCAGGGCGATGGAACCAATGAAGGAAATCCAGAGGAGCCCTGTGCCTCGCCCACCTGCAATAGACCACAGAACAAGTGGCAGCCAAAGCCGTTCCAAGTAAGTGTGACAAAATATAAATCTTTCCCTTCACTTTAGTGTGTGTGGATGGGTGGATGTATGGCAAAGTAACCTGAACACATAAGCTGCAGTTGGTCAGGGCGCTCGTAAACCGGACACCCCAGCTGCAGCAGGAGTTGCTGATGCTGCTGTTGCTGCTGTTGCTGCTGCTGTTGCTGTTGCAGCCAAAGGACCAAACATCCTGGCGGCCGCATCAGCTGCAGCTATTTACGACCTACGCCAAGAGAGTTCATCTGAAGGCTCTCACTTGCGACTGGGCGAGGGGATGTTTTTGGGGCATGGCACTTGTTACGACTCGACTTTCAGGGGTGGCGAATTCACCGACTTTGTGGGGTAAGGAATACAACGGGAAGTTTAGGTCGAATTTTCGAAAATTGCAAGGGGTAACGCTTTTAGCACACATCACTTTAGCACTGGAGTCTCCTGCTGGATTACAAAAAATGTTTATAGGGTTCGTTTAAATAAAATGTACTGTTTTTTTAAACTAATATAATATTCCAGCGCTGCAAGCATAAGCTTATTTTTGTTGCGCTAGTCACATTGACATGAGATAATCCAGTCAATAAAATCTATTACTTAAAGCTAACAGTTTTTAATAGTATTAAAATTACAAAGTTATAAATTTATGAATTTCATTCTTATTAGTCCAACTAAGATATATAAAATATATCACAAAATTTTTTTTTTTTTACTAAAGTCGTTTTGTACTTTCTTCTACCTTAAATTGTTGCCTTCCACAATAATATTGTACTGCCATAACCACTATTTCCCCATGGAAAAAAAAGGGAAATAAATTCACATTTTTAACGAGAAAGTCCCACCATATCACGACGCTCTCCCAGGGACATTCTCTCGCGCATTTCTGCGCCTGCTCCGTACCTCTCTCGTGAATGCTAAAAACGAACAACCCAGAAATTGGGGGAAAATTGTCGCTTTGGGAAGAGAAATTGTGGCACTCTCTCAGGCCTTTCCCAAAGCACCGTTTGGTGTGACATGAAAGTAAAAACAAACCTGGCCGAAAAATCATACAAACGTAAAGGAACTGAGGGGACTTTCTTGCCAGCGATACAGCAGCCCTGTGTGCGTGTGCCACAGGAACCCACTCTCACACACATGTGCCGACTTGGCCAGGACCTCAGTGCATATGCTTGGCACACAGATACACGCGGAAAAAGCCGGACCAGATCCAGAACCAGAGCCAAAGACGGAGAATATGCAACGCAATCCCCTTGGGACCTGGCCAACTGTTTGCGCGCACTCTCAAAAACTTGAATGCACCTTAAACGCCGAGGGAAGATGCGGGAAGGAGCATAAAGCTCCCTCGAACTTTGACAATCTAAGCAGTTTACTGTGTCAATATGTTACGTTTGCTGCTCGTCCCACAGCCCAACTTCGCATAACTTATGCATGCAAATTTGAACGCTGCCGTGCCCCGCTTGCGAAAAGGTGAAAGACAAAAGCAACCAAATCGCACCAAATGCGGTTATTGCAGCGATTATTTTAATGGCTCTTCTCGGTTGTTTGATGCCACAGAACTTAACGTACTTACGCTGTGCATGATTTCTCCGCTTTTGTGGAGCTGCCAATGCAGATGTATTTAACACCTGCGAAAGTTTGGCCTCCGAAAAGTCATTCATCGTGCATTTCCTGCAGTAGAGTCATTTGCTAGCTTGTTCCTGCGACTACAAGTTGGTTTCATTGGGCAAAAAGCGATTTGAAATTCAAATTTTTAAGTTGCCGCAAAATCGAAAAGTTTGGCAAGTCCCATCTAAGTGCTCGATGGCAAAGTTGCCCAACTAAAGTTTCGACGGAAAAATACTTTACGTCATGCGATTGATATTTTTTCCGAAGAAATCGCAACACGCCAAGGAACAAAGAGTCTCTTTTTTTTAGATATATTTTTTAAAAGAGTTTTATTTGCAGAAAGGTTTTCAGGTGCAAAACTCAGTATCATTGATACTTAAACTTAAACTCCAAAACATTTTCGAAATTTAACATATATTTGTGCATCAATAACTTTCAGAAATTTATCTAGTAATTCAAACAAAATATGCTGAATTATTATTATATATTTCGCACCTAAAAATGCACTTCCCTCCTGAAAATTATAATTTTCCACAAAATTAAACACAACAGATCTTGGGAGTATTTGCGACAACTGGGTTCATAATTCACGCAAAGTTCAGGCGCAACTGCTTGTTCTTTTATTTCTTATTTCTTATTCCTTTTTAATTTACACTAAATATTGCAACGACGTCTGAGTCGACAGGAACACAACAGGGCGCAGTTGCAGTTCCGCGCAGCCACGCCCCTCACAGTGCCCCTCACAGCGCCCCCACCAAGTCGTCTGCGTTTGCTTATATTTTATTTGTGGCCAAAAATTGCATTCATGAATAATTCAGTGAAGTGAAAAATTTGGGGTTTTCTTCGCCCGTCTCCCATCGCTTTTCAAAAAAATAAACTCTGCCAGAAAAGAATTCATTTTGTATTTTCTCGCAGCCACTTCCGCGGCTTCCGCTCCCCTGCTCAGCACGTTTTGTAATGTGTGCGGGTTATCAACATTTTGGGTTAATATTTAATGTAAACGACAGACGGACCACACTGCGACCGCGTTGATGGGGCTCGGACTCGTGAGATCCGGATACGGATCCGGGATCCGGCATCCGGGATCCGGGATAAGGGAACAGAGAACAGAGAGCCTGGAACTCCGACTCCCCGGCCAAGGTTGCTCTTGGTTTGCATAACATCCGAAATGGAGTGCCCATTGCTTGCCATGTAAATGAGTCGTCGGGAAACGGAAACTGTTTATGCAGATCGAATGTACCCGAGAACACTCGGAATATTTCTGTGCCTCGATTTATGTTTCTGTTTTGGCCTGCTCCTCGCTTCTTGACTGTGCAAAATAAACTACCAACTACTCTATAAATTAAAATTGCAAATCTATTCCGTTTTCCTCAGAGTCTGGGCAGACTTTGCGACATTTTGCATTGCCTTTTCTGTCTCAGGTTGCAAATCTTTGTCTGCTAAATTTGTTTTCTAATTTATCTTGGTGTGAATTCGCATATTAATGCCATAAATAGTGTCTACTCTCAAAATGCAATATATTGGTTAAGTTTCGAAAACATTTATGCAGGAGATGGTGCTGCCCCGTGATGTCATCGAACTTGATTGAATTAATATGCAACTCGCCTTCAGGAAAACTCAGGCTACATAATAATGTCAAAGTGGGTCTGTTCCCTCTTCGACATCCGGTAAAACTAACGGCAGGTGGTATCTATTTCCAGGTTGCTATGATATGGTGGCCACAAGGTGGTGTATGACATTACTCTGTGGGCAGAGGTTTTTGAACAAGAGTTTCGCTTCAAAGGGAAATATTACTAAACGAAATACGCTGCTTCCAGTGCGTTGTTTTGGTAGTCGATTAATTTTGAGATTTCACTATTCATCTTTTATATCGTCGTGTGTCTATCTTCAAACGTTTCTTACAGGTAATTTCCTGTAGCATGCGTAGTAGTAGTAGTAGTAGTAGTAGTGTCGTGCTTTTAATGATCTTACACCCTAACATGGGAACTTTAACATTGGTGTAGCTGGGATCTTTGGGACAGATATCACGATCATCATTCTTGGGCTTGTATGTAAGTATCGGCTATTTTCTTGTTCATCAAAATCCTGTGTACTGCGTGGCGTTTTACATTTTTGTCAAATATCAAATTTCGCAGTTTGCCTCCCAAATGCAAAACGCACTGTCGGTCCGTAAGGACCTCTTTGGCTTATCACTATCATCCTCAGCAATAAGCCATGGCCCAGTTCAAAAAAAAAAAATAAGGAGTTTAACAAGATCAAAACTTGTAACCTGTTTGTTTAGTTTTTAGTTTCTTTCAAATGAATGACATTCTGATATGAAAGTTACAATGAATTGTAAGCTCTGCTAGATTAAGTTCTGTTTCTCATTTGGCTGTAAAATATGAATCAATAAGACTTTAAGCCCACGAAATTTTATTTCTCTGCCCGAAAGACAGACATCGGTCTCAGCTTTGGTATGCCCACATTTATAACTAATTTAAGTGGCAAGAATGACTTGAGGCCAAGAGCACTTTCACATCTTGAGATACTGAATAGTTAATAGTGAATAAACGAAACTACTTATTTTAGCCTTTCGATATGCTGAATGTCGTAAGTATTATGTATATTTCATCAAACCCTAAATCAATAAACTTAAGGGAACTGTAATGAAATTATCAACTATCGGGCTCACAACCCTGCCACAATTTTCTCGCGATTCGTTCAATTGCGTCTTACCACCCCCTCAACACCCACTATCGAGCATCCTTTTAACGGCTCAGCCTTCGGGCTCCACATTCAACATACTTTGTGCGTTAAAAATATGTAAAATATTTTTACCATAAACCTTTTGAAAAGATTGCAGAGCAGGCGGAGCTGTTCGTGTGCGCGTACTTGGCGTATGCGTGATGATATTAAGCGGCCCAAAAGTCATTTGCGTGTGTGTGTGTGTGTGAGTGTGAGTGTGGCCTTGTCTGTGAGTCGGCTTGGTATCATTGATTTTACTCCCAATAATTTCAAAGAAAACCCACAGAGAAGGAAATGAAAGTTTTCTGCTATAGAGGCAAGTTTGCGTGCAATTTAAGGTTAATTTATTTGGCGCTGAGGTGAAATGGAATCCTCCATAACTACTACGCATAGCAACTGAAGCTTAACGCTTTCATGGTTATACATATATATTTAAAAGTGAGTGGAAGATGTTGTTGAATTAACATTTACATGAATTATATTCATGTCATATAATATAAACATATGTATATTTTGTTTATTTACAGAGCTAAATTTAAGTGACCAATCTGTTTTTAGTTTCCATTTGCCCTTTCATGATAATTAACCACAAATTCAACTATTCATCTTAACTATTCTTTGCATTTACCTTTTTAAATTATAATTAAATCCAACTCTTACTAAAATAATACTCAATGCTCCCATTTATATTTTCTATTTCGCTTACAAAGAATCTGTGACCCATTCCCATGCCCAAATCCAAATTTATGGCTTTAATCTTTTGGCTGGGAATTATATTCGCACTTTTTTCCCTCTCCATTCAGAGTAGGCTTTATGGCTCAAGGACGTGGCGCTTCAAGGACTGAATTTGGATTTGTGTTTTCATTATGAGCTCGAAGGAGGTCTGCTTCCGAAAGTGGGCGGCCACTAAGCTGCATTCCTTTTGGCCTCAAATGGAGTGCTACAACATACAAGCAAAAAGCAAAACAGAATAAAAACCCAGCAAATAAATCAAATTAAACGAAATGAAATAGTTTAGGGCATGGGGCGCTGACAATGGAATTCAGCTGCCACTGCTCTTACAGCTTCTCCTCGTTTGTACTTTCTCGACCTGCTACGGGTATATCTTGGATTGAATGTCGACCCATTCGAAATTGTTCGCATATTCCAAGGTTTATTAAGTTAAGCCGACGAAAAGGAAGTAGGCAAAGTACGAAAATTATTATTTAGTTGTTTGACTAAGGGAAAGACATTTAACACACAGCTATTTAAATAATATTACTGTGCTACATATAGCAGATATATAGACTGGTGCCATAGCATGTACCGTGTTTAGCACGATGACACGATACCTTCTCGCCAGCACTTATCCTTAAATGGTGTCACGAGAGGGCCAAATGCAGCGCCAGGCCAAACACATGGCCAATCGCCCGGCAATTCATATCCTGGCCCTGCCCAAACACAAACACAATCGCAGTCGGCACCACCACACCACACACATCCTGCCAGCAAACGACAGCCAGCTTTCCCGGCGGGCAGAGAATACAGCGCAGAACACACTCGAGAATATTAAACAAAATGTCAATTCGGTGCTTCATTTTTTGGGCGGAGAAGCCGTGCAGCGGGCCTCAAGGACCTGTCAAAAAATGGGCAAAATCAAATCAAATGGCGCACTTAAGCTGCAATTGCATCGGCATCGACAGAAATCAAAGTCCGCTGGCAGCAGGGTGCCCAATCAAAATGGAAATAGTTTCGCTATGGACTGTCGAATGACCAGCTCTGCAGCTCTGGAGCACTGGAGCTCTGGGGCCTCGAGAAAGGGAACTCGAACGAAGGCCGTGTAGAGCCACGGCGAAACGGAAATGAAATCAAGCAAATTGAATGCGATGAGTTGGACGTGGGAATACGTGCCAACCGTTGTCATAACAGCCGTGACGATAAAAAACACTCCAGATCAACGGTAATTGCTGCCGACAAACTGGCATCTATCTGCGGGTGCGGCTACGACCATCCATCCCCATCCTCGGTCGAAGGACACAATGGCGGTACACGCGCCGCCACCAGCGAATCCCAATCCGAGTTCGAGTTCGAGTTTGAACCAAAATCCATAACATAGCCACAAACAATGCGTTCCAAAGCCATGCGAACATTTCAAGACATCCGAGCAACTTTCGTTGCCAGGCGTAAACGGAGAACAATCGGAGCAGCCAAATTTCCTCCTTATTTTTGGTATTTGCAAATAAGTTTTATTCAACCTTTTTTACAGTGCATTTATTATGTTTGAAATTGAAAACATTTAAGTTTTTTAAGTGAAACTATTGAAATGTTGGTTTAGATATTTTGAAAGCCTGTGATAAACTTTGTTAATAGCTGTCGATAGTTTTGGCTTTCGATGGTGACCACTATCAATACTATGGATAGTACTAAAAATTGTTAGGCCTTAACAGAAAATAGAACGAAATATCTATAACACGAGTCCAAAATCTAAATGTATTTTATTTAATGCTGATTAACAAAGCAAATTATAACGAATTCATATTTATAACTTCTTAGCCAAATTTCATCTCTTTCTAACTTTGACCATGTACCATAATTATTTGCTAAATTGTTCGGCCATCGATAGTATCGATAGTGCTATCGATTGTTTTACCATCAGGGCATCGGAAAATCTAAAAGAAAATATCAACATAAGTTGAGAAAAATGTATTTATTTCAAAAGTATTTGCACAATTTATAAGCAGGTTTTTATTTGTCCTGTAGAAATACCGACTTTGACTTGTGACATTACCTTTCTTTCTGTGCACTCCTTAGACTAAAGTTGTTCCGCATGTCACCGCGAGGCTTCCTGGACAAATGGCCTTTCCCATTCGCTAAGTCCTCCGTCCCATTCCCGGAGCCATCCTCGTTCCCATTCGGAGTCCCAGCGGGCGAAACAGTGCCCCCGACAATTGACATTTGGCCACCCATCACAGTCGCCTTCGTGTCCCATTCATATGAGTGGATGGAAGGGGCTTTTGTGGGTGGGGACTGGGTGTGCGGGGCGTGGGTGGCTTGTTGTCGCGTTTTGGGCGCTTCCGCTGCCGTTGCCACCTGCTCTTGTCCATCGCCATTCATCAACATCAGCGCTGAAATTAGAAATGTTTTGCGTTTGGCTTCCGGCAGGACTCGGCCGCAGCTTCAATCCCACCTCTCGAAACCAGATTGGAGCTACGAGGCAGTAGCCAGAGCCACGAGGAAGGACATCATCGACAGGAACCAAGCCGTCGACATAGTTTCATGCCATTTGGACAGCTTTTGGCGATGGGGCTGCGCTAATGTCGCGGCGTTGCCGTTTTCTGATTTGTTTACCTTTTCAATTGAATTCGTGTCGCGAACGGCGAACCATTTCAATTACACTTGACAGCAAAGTGGAAGCTCGTCATGATCGCAGAATTTTAAGATTGAGCACAGCCGGCGTAATTAAATTTAAATCAGTTGCTTTGATGGTGGGTCATGTCTTTCCGAACAACAAATAGCTTTAAAAACGACCAGAATAAAGATATATCAAAAAAAAAAATAAGCAACTTTAACTTCTTAAATAAAAATAAAAATTTTTCTTAAGCCACTTGTAAAATACCATTGGTTTTATATACAAAATATAAATTGCTTGGAATAATTTTAAAAACTTTTTAAACATTGTTAAAATAATATTAAATTGAAATTAAATTTAATTATTTTTAACTAATGAAATTACGTTAAAGATTTTAAAAACTGGGTTTTTAAAAAAGACACTACCATGGATAAGCTTACTTAGGTTTTGATATCACTTCACATTTATTTGCATTCATAATTTATTTATTTATTATTTAAAGACGTGTTATTTGGCCATGTAAGATTTAACAAAAAAGAAAACGAAGCATAGCCCTGCAAATGTAAACCTATATATATATTTATTTCTTCCGCGCTCTTTCTGATTAGTGTTCACTGCACACCGGGTAAAGCATCGCACTTCACCTGAGGACGTGAAAGAAATTCGGCAATAGATAACAGAAACCCATTAGGTGGGAGTGCGATTCCCTTTATTGCCCCTTAGCAAATGAGAAAGCCGCTCTAGCTATTTATGGTTTAAAGAGTTTAAGGCTGGAACCACACTCAGTGTGGCTTTGAATATGCGTTTTGAGTTTCCTCCGGCCACAGCAAAAAATCTATTAGGGCAACACAGACGGGCCATCTGCACAATAAGTGGCACCAGAATTTACTGCGATTTCTCTATTAGGCCGAGTGAGTGCAATTTTCAGGGTGTGAGTACAACCATTCTGGCTTCTTGGGCTTAGGTGCCCAATCGACTGGGTTGATGCTGACGATTACGGCCGATTTTTACGACAATTTGTCTGGATGTGCCTGCATCCAAATGGCGACATTCAACCTCCCCCCGGGGGTCAAGGATTCGGCTTTGCCTTGCAAGGACAGAATCGAAAGAGCTTCAAACTTTCCAGGAGTTGCGCGAAATAAAGCAGCGAATATTTCAATAAATAAGGCGGCTCTTGCGAGGGATATTGAAGGCAACTCCCTGTGATATCGGGCGATCGGGGTCCCAACATATGGAAACTGTTGATGCAAACGGCAATAAATAGAGGAAGTAACGCAGTGGAGCTATGCTCCAATTTATTGCTTTTGCCATAAAATACTTGAGATTTTATGTGCATCCAGCAAGGTGAATGGGTTCGGGGCGGGCTGTTTTCACTCCAAAGCACAATCTTCAGGATGTCTGGGGGTCTAGCAAGTTTCGTTTGAGAACTTTTCATTTTCACTAGCGCTGAATGTTCACCATGTCCCAGTTACTGCCGGCAAAACATAACTTTTGGGCGGCAAAATTTATACCTACTTTATGAACAAAGGGTACAACTCAATAAAAATATAGTAGATTAAATAAGGCTTTACATTTTCTTGCATTTCTTATAACATATAATTTTCAGCTTTATTTGGAACCTATAAAATCCAAATAAATTCTTAATGAAAATAGTAATTTTGAACAAAGATTGCTAAGTGATTTCCCATCGTTTAACACCGGATGTGTAAGTATTCCCCTCGTTCGGGCCAAGTGAGCAGTAGTTTTGCGATAAACCAGACCCCATCAATCAGCGGGCTTATTTAAGGGACTAAGTACTCGGATGAAAAGTGTGCCATGCACATACTCAGCCGCCGAATGAAAGGCCGGCTAAACTGAGGCCCATTTGGGCCGAACAATTCCAGGGGCAGCCAACACAAAGCAAAGCGTCGGCTCTGGTTTAAATAAACATGCGAACTGAACATAAAGGGCCAAGCGTCGGCACTAAACCAGCAAAATCAGGTGAATGAGCACTTTAAGTCTTTGTTTCGCCGAATCGAAATGAAACAGCAAACAATGCCGGCTGACAGGCTGGAAAAGCAGCAGCCGGCGGGCCACAAAAGCTAGCTTGCTGGCGTTTTAATAGGATTACAACAGCAACTACGCCGGCCAGCAATTGGCCAAGGCAACACCGAACACCGAACACAGAACACCGAACACAGAACACAAAACACAAAAAGCGCAATGCGAAAGTTAGTGAAACGGAAGCCAACCGCCGCTGCGGTAACTCTCCCTCCGCCAGCAGTTGTGTTCTGTTACCTGTTAGCCAATTGTTCTACCGAGAGCTCCTCTAGTTGCTCCCTGTCAGTCCAGCCGCTTGTTTGGGTTTGTCATTTCCATAGCCAACCGTCAATGGAGCACAAAACTGTCCCGAACTGGGAGTCCAGGGGAAGGAGATCCACAACAATTAGGAGTGGCCCTCGAAACTGACGCTACATGCCAAAATATTTGGAAAGTTGCAGGACAGGCTTAGCTCAATTAGTTGTGATTTACCCTTCGCAGAAGATTGTATTTAACGAGCACGACAAGACATTTTTAAAGGTCGAATCTTATTTAGATTAAGAGATAAAACAAGTGCACAGCATGTAGGATACTATTCGTATTCATCATTTATATGATAATTGACATTTGACAGACAAATTTTCACTTTTAATTTAAATATTGTACGGAATTTATTCTTCATAATATAAGCTTTCTGAATAGAATTTAATGTGTTCAAAATCGCAGTATTTTTAGGCCTCTAATCTATCAACAAAATCGGAACTTAGGTAAGGTTGTCCATTGCAAACTTTTTTAAATCTGCCCTCGCGTAAGTGAATTTTTCAATCTAAGTGGAGGCAATTGGTCAACAACTTGGCCCAGTTGTAGTCCATCCAGATGGCCTTCCTTTTGCCGCTTTGCTTTGTTCGCCTGTGAATTTGAATGCTCCACGGAAACGGATGTGTTGATTGTTGGCTTTTGGGAGGAGCCCACCAGCAGGACGACGTCCTTGCATTGTTGACACAACAACTCTGCTGTTCATTGGGTTACTAGCAAGTTGCACAGTAAAAAATTATCTTAAAATGTTAAATGGTACGATGGAAAGTCGTCTTACCACAAATGAAGCACTCGATTAAAATTGAGTATTATTATTTAAGTGTTAAAACAATAACCCTATATGACTATGGAATATTCGAGTATATTGTTCTCTGTGTGGGAACCGGTCACTGGTCACTGGTCACCGACTGCTGGGCATCGGTCACTGGACCCGGGGCAATCAACTGGGCCAGTTGTCGTCCGCAGATGATGATGACGATAATGAGCTGGGGCCTGATCATGGTTTACGGACACGTAATGACAGCTAAACTTTCAACACTCGACAGTTACATTTGCCAGCACATCGAGGGCAGAGCCTGCAATGGGCGTGGAGTCTGCAATTGCCCGGGGTGGTCATCATTAAAACCGCTGTTCCGACGAGATGTAGTGTACCAGTGATGATGACTACAATTTTAGAAAAGGCTATCAAATAGACGTCAATATCTCAAAAGCAACGGTTATATAATATTTGTGACCTTGGTGGGCTTAATGTCAAAAAAAGCCTAATTTGTGGTGAGTTTTCCGTTCGTATTAGTTACAATTTTTAAATAACAAGTTAAAAAGTTTGCTGTTATCTTAAGTTATTTTCCAAGTCTGTAAGTCTATTAATAATATTAAGCGCATTTGGAATTATTTATGATTTCCTGAAATTTTCAGGAATTATGTTATCGACTCTGACATACAAATAGCTAGGATACAAAATAGCTAAGTGGGCAACAATTGACTGATATAGAGGCATGTCGGCAAAAGGGAGCGGCAAATGAGTCGTGCAGGTCGGCTTTTGTCAGTCGTAACTGTAAATGCGTGACTTTTGGCCATTTAATGATGTTTCATCGTCATTGTGCACAAATAAACAATCATCATGAGGGCGAAGCTGGAGTCGGGAACGAGGATGAGGCTTTGTCCTGCCTCATTTGATGACACGGCCTTTCAATGGCGCTGGTTATTAATGCGCCTGTTTGCTCCCACGGCCAACAATAACGCATTTAAAACAACAATGACCCAATGAGCCAGTAAAAGCCATAGCTTCATCCAAAGACTAACGAGGACGATTAGCCAGCGGGAGCAGCGGAATTTTCGACAAAAATCCGTGGGTGGAATTGTCAGTTCACAAAAGCCCTATCATTTGTATTTTACAAATATATAGGCTAGCTTGGATATCTGACTTTCAAAGAGGGTAAGCTCTAAAAAGCGACTGAAAATAAAAAGGGAGTTCTAAGAATATTTGGTTCTTACTTTTGCAAAACAGCCTTGTGTTAAAAGGTTAGTTTAGCTTTGTATATTTTTTAGTTTTATTTCTTCAATGCTTTCTTAAATGTCAATTTTAAATAATTTTTAGCTATTAACATTCCACACACCCTTGTCTAAAACTTCACAAAAATAAAAAAATCTCATAAAAAAACATATTAAAATGGCATGAATTGTATTTAATAAAAATGTTAATTTCAATAAAGAGCTATCACTTATTTTTAATTACAATCCAATAACGAAAAAAATGCAGGTTGACATGTTCATGGCACAAAGGCTTTCCTGTTCCGTGTGTGCCGCATGATTTATGCTTTGTTTTCGCTAGTAATTCATATTAATAAATAAAATATGCAGCTTCCTGCATACGGTTTATAAATTCAACGCCACGGATTTCCCCAGGACAAGTTTATTGCGTTGACAGCCTCGCCTGTCAGCCGGATCCGGACTTCTGCAATCGACTTTGCGATCGGCATCTCTGCGCTCTCCATAATGCGACCCAGATTCCGCACTTAATAAATACTTTTTGCCCAAACCAAAGGTGCACGGTTCACTAAGCGCGCTCGAAAATAGACCCAAAAGGGTCGGGAGTGGGCGTTGGATTTAGCCAAGTCCATTGACTTGGCCTTTGCCGCGGGGGAAGGGGCGTTCGAGGCCCGGCTTACGGCAGCTGGGTTCTTATTTAAAGTTTCGTTGGCCAGTCATGTGTACGGAGGCGAACTGAAGGAGCAGCCAGAGCAAGTGGAAGTGGTAATGGTAATGCAAGTCCTGCAGGAAGCGGAAGCGGAGGGCGTGGGCGATGGGCGAGGGGCGAGGGGGCTGGGAATGCGGAAAAGCAAGCTGCTCTGCAGTTCGTGTCAGGGCCAAGCGAGAGCATTTTATTTCTTAATTTTGTTTTGGACTAATACTAATTCGATTTCGCTGTAAGCAGAAGCATCAGCAGTGGTACACAGAACAAAAATTATTCTGCTTAAATGTAAATTGTATTGGGATGTCAAATTTATTGCTATTTAAAGTGAGTAAATAAACATATTTGAACATCGTGCTTGTATGGTGAATCTAGTTCTAAGCTGGTCTTTAATTTTTGGTTTGAAAAACGAATTTGGTAAGAGATGTTTTTTGTGTAACACTAAGCTTATTGACCCGCACCAATTTAGCTTTTACTTTTTTGTTGCTTCCATCGAGTCTGCTTTTTAGTTTCGTGGACTGCCAATTTGCATTGGCTTGGCCATTAGCATCGGGGCAGTCCGTAAGTTGGTGTTCTTTATTGTTGTGTGATAGTCGGACCTCAGACACTCAGTCAGTAAGTCGGTCTGTCGGTTAGTCAGTTGCTCAGTTGGTCAGCTAGTCAGTTAGTCAGTTTGTCCATTTCCCAACCGACTGTTCTGTGCATCGTGGTCGTTATTAGCCGCCCGTGTCAGCCAGTTTGTCGTACATAATGAAAGACATGGTTCTCGTGTAGCGATAGCTCCAGCTTTGCACCACCCCACTTTTCCACCCTGCGGAGCGTTCGTCCTTGTACGGCGCTCTGTGTCCCCATGTCATTTGAATTTGTGCTCTTTGTTGCTGCTGCTGTTGTGATGCTGGCATTGCATACAAATACGTAATTGAAAAATGCACATACCTCCGAGATGCTTATTGACTTTTATTGGACAGCCAAGGGGGCGTGGAGTGGTACGTAGAAATGCTTAGCATAAGTCTCTTTACACATGGGTGCGGCAGTCAATTGCATGGAAATTAAACGAATGAACTTGTGCCACAATTTAAGAAATCATTTAAGGAGAATTTTTTGGCCGGAGGAAAAATGCTTTGTAGTTCAGATTTGGAATTGCGAATTGCAAACAGATATTCAATATTCCACACAGACGTGTGCGGTGTAAAAATAATTGAATTATTATTGCCATTGCGTAAATGACAATCATTCCTGGCCGTCTGAATAAGCGGAACGGACCATGGGTCGCTCAACCACTCCTTAGGTATTTTTATTAAAAATTCTATTCGCCGCCGAGAGGACAATGCAGCAGAGCCGGTCAAATGGCTATGACTATGGCAATGTTCTCGAAATGCGAACCAGTCTCGACAGGGACAGTGGGGACAGCAAAAAGTTTTTGGCCTCCAACTTTTAATTATAAATAATTTTCAACATTTTAAATATGTCGCTGGCACGCAAATCTGTGCAGCAAATGTTAGAAATGTCCATCCGCAAGGCAAAAAATATGAAAATGCAGCATAGATGAAAATGTGGAGAGCAGAAATCGAGAACATATATATTTTTTGGCCAAGGCTGCCAAATGCAGTTTTTTATTGCTTGGAAACTGCTTGAAATAATTCTTTTTCCTTTTCCTCTTTTTTATGCCCGGGTCAGAGCTGTGTGAGAGCGACTCCGACTCCAAATCCAAATCCAAATCCGACTGCGGTTAAAAGTGCGGAAATACATTGAAATGACAATAAAACTAAAACTTGCCTGGGCCGCGCTACTTCGTTTTTGTGCTGGCTCAAATTTAAAGTTTATGGCCTGACGGCCACATGTGCAGCAACGACGCCCGAGGAATGTTGGCCAAATGTTTATTTTATTTTATATTTATTCGCACTCTTTTTTCGATCTGGCATTCATTCGCTGCTATTAGCAGTTTTTACTCAGTCTGGTTTAGAGTATTTTTTGGCACTCTAAAGTTCACCCGAAAATTGCTAAAAATTTATTTATTTTTTAGTTTGAAGGCTTACTTATACGTTAGTTACACTTAGTTGTTTAAATGTTGTCTTCCTGCTGCAGGTAGTATAAAAGTAAGAACGAGCTGGTTCCGATGACTATGGCATATAGCTCCCACAGGTAAAATCGCAAAAAAATTAAACAAATTTATAACATTGCCGATTTTCAAAGTTTTTCTAAAGTTCTTCGGCATTATATCATATAGCTCTAATGGAAACAATCGAAATATTAAAAAAAAAATAAACATAATTTTAACTTCTCTTATTTTCAATTTCTTTGTAATTTTTTTTTTGGAAATATGAATGGTTTAATAATTCAGAACTACGCTTTTAGTTTTTTTTTTAAATCGGAAAACTATATCATATAGCAACCATAAAAACGATCGAATATTTGAGCTTAAAAAGACAATAGCTTCATCGCTTTTAACCATATACGCATATAAATCGCAATTGAAGTGTTTTTTAAAGAACATTAAATTTTTGCAATAGCTGCAAGGGTATATGAACGTCGACTTGCCGAAGTTTGCTTTATTTCTTGTTTAACGTAATTTGTGTTGTTGTGCAAACTCATTATAATGGTAATAATTACAAGCAAAAACTAACAAAAAGTAAATTGATTTTAATGGTCTAATAGTTTAGAGAGCACTCAATTATTTAATGGTATTTAATCAATTAATAATCAAGCAAAATACTGGTGTTTCCTTTCTCCCACTATCAATTTCTTTTAATTGACTACTAATTTCTGATTCTGAAATGCAACAAAAGCCAATATAAATAATACTTCAATGAAATTATGTTTTACCCCATATTGTTTTAAAAATGTTAACCCTTATTGAGTCATTTATTAACTGCATTGCATTCGACTTCAAATGCACAGATTATGAAATGTAGTTTAAAGTAAGTTTTACCAAGTGTAGTTAAAGAAGTGCTTCAATAAACTATTCCCTGCGGACTGTAAAGAGTGTTATTTTATTTCTTAAAATGATTTGACAGTTATTAATATTATTCTAATCTTTACGACCAGCACACGTCAATTTGCTGCATTAGAATATAGTAATGACGGGAGAGGCCATTCCATTAATCAGATTTAATAATACAAATTTTGTTCACCTGACACATGAACTCCAGCACTAATCATAAATCTGGAGTATCACCTGGAGTGGGGAAATAATCCACTGACCCATATCCGGCCATGTTCTGTTTACGGGCGTGTACACCGTGGGTTCGTGTTGGTTCTGTGTTGACCGCACTGAGGAGGGCACCACTGAACCAGGTAGGATCCTGCATCCTGCATCCTGCCCCCTGTCCTGCCACAATGCAAACATGACTTTGCAATTAAGTTATTGTCGGCCACAAGGAACTAGCCGACAGCCAGGGGTCCCTGGAGTCTCTCTTC